TACAAGAAAATATAAAAATTTTATGGGAATGTTCAATAGATGTATTTATAATTCTTGGACTGAGGAAGACTTTGAGATGAAATGGAGGAATATGATTGAAAGATTTGAACTTACAGAGAATGAATGGCTTGAAGCTTTATTTGAAGATCGTAAACATTGGGTTCCAATATACATGAGAGGTACGTTTTTTTGTTGGAATATCTACAACTCAAAGATTTGAAAGTATAAACTCATTTTTTTGATAAATATGTGAACAAGAAAACTTCATTGAAGGAGTTAGTTCAACAATATATGGTGGCTTTAAAAGATAGAGAAGAAAAGGAGGCATATGCTAATTTTGGTACAATATACAAAGAACCCGTTTTAAAGTCTTCTTCACTTTGGAAGAAACAAATGTCAAAAGTTTACACACCACATTTTTTAAGAAATTTCAAGTTGAGGTTTTGGGAGCATTTGGATGTTATCCTCAAAAAACATCGGAAGATGGTACATTTAAGAGTTTAAAAGTTCAAAATTTTGAAAAAAATGAAAACTTCTTGGTAGAATGGGATGCAAGTGAGGAAGATATTTTTTGTTTATGCCGTCTATTTGAGTACAATGGGTATCTTTGTAGACATGCGTTGGCGGTACTATAATTTTTTGGTGTTTTTAACATCCCAGCTCAATACATCTTAAAGAGATGGACTAAACATGCAAAATGTGTTAATACCACAAGACACATTCCAAAAGATGTTCGTTCGAAGAAGAAACGTTTTAATGTGCTTCACGAAGCCACCAAATTGAGTGAGGAGGGGTCAATATGCATTGAGAGTAATAACATTGCATATGATGCGCTAAAGGAAGCTATGAAAAAATGTGCAATGGTTAATAATTCTCTTATAGGCTTTGAAGATCCTTATAATTCTCTTGATCTTGATAAATAGAATGTTGATAATAATGTGATGTTTGACATCTCAGCATTCGACCCACAAGTGTCAACTATAAAGGAGCTCCTAAAAGGATTAAAAATGGGATCGAGAATGTTAGTAAAAAAAGATGAAAAAACAAACCAAAACAGGTTAGAGTTTTAGTTATCTTGCATATGTATTTATTTAATGATGTATTTCTTAGTTACTAATTATTAATACTTGCATTTTATTAGGTTCAAAAGCCTATGGAAGTGCGGAGGAGAAAGCCTTTGGAAATTCAGGTTTGTCGTGTCTTAAATGTTATAATTTCTTTTTGAAATACACAAGATGCATCTTAAACTTGTATTTATATTTGATATTTGTAATAGAAAGAAAATCATCCTCGTGTGTTTGTTTCCAACGAACGAGATTGGAGCTCTGAGTTAACACCACCTCCTACACAAGATTTTTGAGGTACAATATTAATGTATTAATTGTACTTTTCTTCTTACTTGCATGGAATAAAAAATAGTGTCTTATATTAATAAGAGGGATGAAAAATGGTGTTTGATTTTTAATAATTTGAAAATTTTCTGGTTTGATCAAACAAACTTTATTTTTATTGACGAAGAGCTATGCTTCATCCATGAAGAAACAGGTTTATTTTACTATAGGTAGTAATCTTTTGGGATGTGATGGACATTTGAGAAGAAGTAGGTTTATTTTGCTATAGGTAGGAATCTTTTGGGATCTGATGGACATTTGAGAAGAAGCTGGGTTATATACATTTGGTTTGATTATATGTATTAGCTTCGAAAGTTCAGTTATGTTATAATCTTTTACTATGATGTAGACAAACTTGATGTGAGTTGATGTCAAGGAATTATGGCAAGGCTGTTGAAATTTTAATTTATTTACTGTCAGCATGTTTCGAAATAAATATGTTGAAACTTGGATGGTTTTTTTTTTTTTTTTTTTTTTTTTTTTTTTTTTTTTTGATTGGTGTAGAAGGATGTTAGTATAGAAAAGAAAAAAAAAAAAAAATTCTTTAGAAAGGTCATCTAAAAAGTGGGTCTGTCATGATAAGTTAAAAAGAATCGGGTAAAGGGACAGAATTTTCAGGTAAAGATAAGTTAAAAAGGAAAAAAAGAAAAAGAAAAGAAGAAAAAGGAAAAAAAGGCTACCTGGCAGAAGGTAATTCAAAAGACTCTTTTAAAAATGTGTTTCATAAAATAATATAATTAGAATATAAATAAATCACTTTTTAGATTCCCAAACTAGAACTAAGAAAGTCAATGAGTAAAATAAATGATGTGCAATAGTGGGCTCAAAACTGACTAATAAAATTACGTGACTACTAGCTTAGGCAACTGTTGCTAGCAAACCACCACCCCTCTCTCCCTCTATCTATCTATCTATATATATATATATATCAAAACTGACCAATAAAATAAGGTGACTGATAGCTTAGGCAACTGTTGCTAACAAACCCCTCTCCCTCTCTCTCTCTCTCTCTCTCTCTCTCTCTCTCTCTATATATATATATATATATATATATATATAGTATAGTATAGGATTTTTATATTCAAAGTAATGACTTTGTAAAAGAATTTTGTACTGTTTTGTAATAGGATTTCTGGAAAGCTTATAAATAATTTAATATATATAGAAACATTAAACATACTCCAACAGTTTTAGGAAAGTACTGACATATTCTCATAATATAGTAGTATATAATAATAAATTACTAAAATCAAAGGTATGTAGTTCTTTAAATAATGCATAATTTATATTGTAATGTTTCGCAAAACTTGCAAGGGTGTACAATGTAAATGACTTCAGGGTCAAAGAGCTTTAGCTTTACTTGGACTTCAGGTTAATAAATTTTGTGAAATTTCGGGTTCGCAAAGAGTACCAAATATTTGAGAAACTTCATGCTCACGAAAAGTATAATATATGTAAATTTCGAGTTTGTAAATATCATTAAATATAAATAATTTAGTATTTGCGAGACTTCGGATTCAGCAATTAAGTTTTCTGTAAATAATGAACTAAAATATTATAATATAAATAAATAAATAAGTTTTTGTGAGACTTTAGCCTCAACAATTTTAATTATTTGTAAAGTATGAATAGAAATAATTTAATATAAATAATTATTTCTCTTACCCTTTTGAGTGAGAAAGAAAAATGCAACTTTCTTCTCAGCAGGTAGATGATTGTGCTAATAATATTTTATAAATATAGAACAAAAATATATAACAAGAAATATAAAACACAATAAATGAGAAGGAAGGAGGAGAAAAAAAGAGCATTCTATTACTTCTTCTCTTTCAGTGTCTTTATTTAGGATTCTCGGTCTCGTATATATACGAAGTTTCTCACCACTGCATATTGCCACCTTGCATTTTACTCATATACTTTTAGGAACCTACGATAATTGTAGTGACACATGTTTAGAAAAAACGTACAATAATTTGCTCAATATCACAGGTTGTAGAAAGTCACAATGAGGTGAACTTATTGTGTAGGAAGTGGAGCCCATATAACAGTTACCAAGTAGTGTTTACTTTTCCAAGTAGCTACTCTTCCTTGACAAAGTCACGGTCCTACTAATATTCTACTCTTATCATTAAAAACAATAAATAAAATAAGAAAAATATTGAAGAAGAAAACTGATAGATGTTGTTTGCTGACTACTTGTTCTCTCTCATCTCAAATGCAAATTGAGTCTTGCATATTGAGTGTGTGTTCATATTTCAATTTTTGCTAAACAAACAAACATGTTGGTTCTGTCCCAAACTCCAAAAAGCATGTATCTCTTTCCACTTGCGATTATTTTCACAATCTACCTTGTTCATCATCTTGGATTTAGATTCACCGGTAACTACTCTTCCGAACCCCCTTGTTATTTCGTTGAAGACATAGCCATTAATTGCGGCTTCTCGGGCAACTCATCTGCTTTTGATGGCCGGGAATGGGTCGGAGATAAATTGACTTCGTCGCAACAACTAGAAGGCAAAACAGTGAGCTCAAAAACTGTCCACCAATCACTTCTCATCGATCCTGTTCCATACATGACCGCTCGCCTCTCTCGTTCTCAATTCACCTATACATTTCAAATAAGGTCGGGTCAAAAATTCATTCGCCTGCACTTCTATCCAGTTTCTTACCGTGGTTTCGAAAGATCCAAGGCGGTTTTCACTGTTACAGCTTGTCGTTACACTCTCCTCAGCAACTTTAGTCCTTCCATTTATGCTGATGCTTTGGGCGTAAAGTATTTTGCTAAAGAATTCTGTGTGAATGTAGAAGAAAATGGAGTGTTTAACATCACATTCTCTCCATCTCAAATTACTACTTCCAAAGATGCATATTCTTTTATCAATGGAATTGAGGTGGTTTCCATGCCAGCTGGTCTTTATTACACTCCAGATTGAGGTTTGGGCGCTCGTGTGGTGGGCAATAGTTTCCGATACTTTATTGATAACCGCACTGCACTGGAGATGGTTCACCGGTTAAACGTGGGAGGGAGATTCATTTTGTCGGTTGAAGATTTGGGCGGTATGTTCCGCGCGTGGTCTGGGGACAAGAATTACTTGTTACAATCAGGTCTTTTACAAGTAAGTACAAGCAACGCATGCACAAACATACCCACATACACAGCACCACCTGAAGTTTATCAAACAGCCTGGTCAATCGGTTCAAACAAACAATCTGGGAGCTTCACTTGGAAATTACCCGTAACTTTGGGATTCAGGTATTTGGTTAGGCTCCATTTCTGTGAGCTTGAACCTGCAATCGTTGACAGTGGCCAAAAACAGTTTGCTCTCTTAATAAATGGTCACATGGTTGAAAGTGATGCACTTGTAATCAATTGGAGCGGTAATAGTGGGATTGCTGCAATATATAGGGACTATATGGCCTCAATGGAAGGCGACAGGATGGAAGGCAAGCGTGACATAATTATAGCTTTGCAGCCCAAGTATGAGTCCAGCAGTAAAAATGCTGATGGAATCCTAAAAGGGATTGAGATATTCAAGTTGAGCAACCCGGACAACAATCTTGCAGATTCCAGCAATATGTCTACTGCACATACTTCGACATCTTGGACCACGAGTCTCCGAAAATTACTATCAGCTTTTGGCAGTAGAAATGCGATTGCAACAGGTATGATAGTTATTCTTACTCTGTTAAATGTCATCATTCACCAATTGATTAATATATCTCCGGAACAAAACACTGGAGAAGGAAACATCTCACCATCATCAATGGGCATGGTGGAGGAGGAGGAGGATTTATGTCGATGCTTTTCACTTGTAGAGATCAAGTTGGCTACAAACAACTTTGATGATAAACTTGTCATTGGGAGTGGTGGATTTGGTAAAGTATATAAAGGGCAGATCTTTGGGACCACTGTGGCCATAAAACGTTTGAATTTGCATTCCAGTCAAGGGGCTAACGAATTTTGGACAGAGATCAAGACCCTTTCAAAGCTCCGGCACAATCATCTTGTCTCTCTGATTGGCTACTGTGACCAATGTCCGGAGATGATTCTGGTCTACGACTACATGGCCCTTGGAACGGTTGGTGATCATTTAGTCAAAAATCAAAGGAAGGGTCTTAGTGAATATTCACCTCTCACTTGGGAGCAGCGACTCAACATCTGCATTGGTGCGGCACAAGGGCTAGACTACCTTCATACAAGTAGGGGAGTTATTCATCGAGATGTCAAGAGCTCAAACATTCTGGTGGATGAAAATTGGGTAGCTAAGATTTCAGATTTTGGACTGTCCAAAATGGATACTACAAGCCTATTGCACACCCATTTTAGCACCAACGTTAAAGGCACATTCGGGTATTTGGATCCCAAGTATTTCCTGACTCGTAGATTGACGAAGAAATCTGATGTATATGCCTTTGGTGTGGTATTGTTTGAAGTGTTGTGTGGAAGGCCGGCTGTGCATGTCGAGCTTGAGGAGCAGCTGCAGCATAGTTTAGCATTGTGGGCCCAACACTGCTTCAGAGAGGGAACCCTTGATCAGATCATTGACCCTAGTGTGAGGATGCAGTTGCGGCCGCATTGTTTGAAGGAGTTTACCAATATTGCCATCAAATGTTTGCATGATAGTCCGAATGAACGACCTACCATGACTGAGGTGGTGGAGAGCCTCAAATTTGCAATGATGCTATGGCAAGGAGGGGCAGAATCATATACAGAGGATGAGATTGTTAGCGTCGGTGAATCTTGCAAAGATGAGCAGATTGATGGGATTGTTTCATTGGGTGATCCTAGACGTCCCCCAACAACCAAGGGATCAGAAATCAAAACCAAGAAGAAGGTAAAGAGTAGTACACCCAAAACAAGTAAAGATGATGATATTGGGAAAAGAAAGAATGACTATGGTAACCATGGACAGTCATTGGGGTGGTGGGACATGCTTTGGGGTAGAATGAGATTATCAAAGACAACAAATGCTTTTCCATTGCCAGAGGTTCCCTCTTCACCACCCAAAGTATTTTGTCGTCCTTTCTCACTTGCTGAGATTCGAGCTGCAACCCACAATTTCAGATACACCCTTCAAAAACAAAAAGGTTATGGTAGCAAGATTTACATGGGTTATACGGAAGAAATGGGGAAGATTGCTATCAGAAGATTGACCTCCCATATATGCCAAGAATTCTGGTCCGAGGTCAATTTGCAATCCCAAATGCGATGCATTAACTTGGTGCCCTTGGTTGGATACTGTTACGATGATGGTCAGATGTTCTTGGTACATGAATACATGGCCAAGGGGACCCTATTCGATCAACTCCACAACACTTTCAATAATTCTGTACTCTCCTGGAAGCAGAGGCTCCAAATCTGCATTCATGCTGCAAGAGGTTTGAACCATCTTCATACAGGTAAATTGGGCGGAGGTTTGGATAAACTACTGCCTTCGTCCCAAATTAGATGTCATGTTTGAGGAACCGTGACATCTAATTTGGGACAGAGGGAGTATTATGTTTGGTTCAAGTTTGTGAAATTCTTACATTTTTTTCCTCTTAATTTGAAAATCTTTTCTATTTTATTTTTCTTTTTCGTATTAGTTTCCATCACTACTTGTATATATAATTTGTCCCCCAAATCAAAATCTCTGGCTCCAACCTGCAGGTGAGAAGGACAGAATTGTTCAAGGCAACATAAGCTCGTCCAACATCCTATTGGATAAAAATTGGGCTGCCAAGATTTCAAGCTTTCGTTTCTGTGACAGAACCACAATGTCAACGCTTGCCAATGGCTATGCAGATCCAGAGTATATGTCCACCGAAAGACTTACCGAAAAAGCTGATGTTTATGCCTTCGGTCTGGTGCTGTCTGAAGTTTTGACCGGGAAGCAAGCACTGGATTTAAGAGCAAGCATACTCGAAACCGAGACAATGAATCTATCGGAGTGGCTCAAAAACTGTGTAAACACTGGGACAGTGGATCAGATCATTGATTGCCATCTAGTTGGACAGGCATCACCTCATTCTTTGAGTGTTTTTGTGGATGTTGCTATTAAGTGCTTGCTTTCTAGTATGAAACGCCTTCCAATGATTGAAGTTGTGCGCGGACTAGAGCTTGCTTTGGAATTGCAGGAAAGCCACGGTTCTGCCATGGAGGTTAGTGATAAATCTCAGCTTCTGGTACAACCGTTGTAGCGTTAGGCACATTGCTTAATTTTATCAAGGGTTGGCAGCGAAAAACACCATAAGGTGTACATGTAAAGTGTATAACTGTTTTTGAATTTTTCAGCAAACAATAATTTGAATGCTGAAAAGATTAAAGCAGCAGTATCTCTCTGAGTAAAAAAGGGTAAAAAAAATGACTAACGTGTCTCTCTCTTTTTTATTTTTTTATTTTTTTATTTTTATTTTTAAAGAGCATTATTGGAAGAGAAAAATCAGAAAAGTTGTATTTTTAGAATTTTATATCTTTAAAATGTTGACTAAATTTGTAACGAAACAGTGATCTCAATCCTTTATTTGATCATTTTTTTATAACTAAAATACTTATATATATATAAATAAATAAATAAAAAACATTAAAGGAGATATTTGCTCAAAATTTAAACATTGAAGTGTTTTTGTCACTTTATCCTTTTATCAATTCTATTGTATAGTCTCTCCTCCACAGATCTTAATTTTGCTTTAATTTGAGAAATTTTGATCTTGTCATTCATATACCAAGGGTTTCTGTGAAAAAGAATAATTAATTTCTCTTGCAGCAATCACATGCTCTTGCAAATAGATACTACGCATAGTTTCCCATGAGAAGGTATATATTACAAAATAATTGAAATCTATGTGATGACTTTGAACTCGTATGCTACTGACCATAAGAATTATTTTCTATACATACTTTTATTTGATGTTAATTAATTGTACCATATTGGCTGAAACCTTATAATAAAAATATCATAAATTTGCTTTAATTAAAGTGACCCACACAATTTCTGACAAGGGTTATGATATTCAGGATAACTAGTTAGACTCATTTATCAAAGTGAAACAATAAAAGATCATTGATGACCTGAAGCGGGGTTTAAAATGAAGTCCCATTTCAGGCCATCAATGACCATAATTTCACTTTGACAAATGGAACAAACTAGTAGGCTTGAATATTGTTTCCTTCTCACAATGGAACTAGGATCCTCCGAGTTAAAAATTCTCTACAATATTCTAAGTTGAATCACCCACACACACTGACACATGCCATTATAAGTAAATCTATGGTTAATGTAACGACCCAAACCCGAGGGTCTGAATCGTTAACGGGTCCTTATCTGAACCCAAAGTCAACTAAGGACATTACCATCCTTTCCTACGTCAATACATAATATATGTGTCATCTCAGGGTTTATAAAAAAAAATAATAATAATAAATAAATAATGAAATGAGATCATAGCTACAAAGTGTGTCAAAACGGTCTACTAACTCATCGAACCTTGTGGAGGAGCGTCGTCCGCCACTTCCCGTCCGTGTCCTGAAAAATGTTAAATATAAGGGGTGAGCAAATTGCTCAGTAGGAGGTGCCTAAGACACACCTCTTATGACCCCGTGAATTCACATAGAGAATAGAAAGTATGAGAACGGGATCTTATCTCGGGAGTCAAGTAAAACCACTGTATCATCAACAAACATACATATATCAACCAACTTGTGACGTTTCTGATTTTCGTCGTTTTTCTTTTTTTCGAAAAAAATTGTCGCCGCAAGGGCATTTCCGTCTTATCACGTTTTGCGTACGGGATTGTGGTTGGGTCCAATTACATATTGTACATTTTTATTTATGTGGATCAAGTGGTATTTGTATGTGGTGCATTAATGTGTATGAGGTGTAAAATGGAAATATAAAGAAAAAAAAAAGAGATAATAAAAGAAAATTTTGTGGGGCCCGCCACTAATCGCACATGTGGCTAGAGACCATTTTTTTAGTCTCTCATTTCTCTCCTCCCGTCCATTTCTCTATCTTTCTCATTTCCTCTTCATTTTCTTCTCTTTTGGCTTCAAATTTTGATCTTTGATTTCTCACTCCACACTTAGTGATTTTGAGTGCCATTTGAGGCGAAATGGAGAGCACGGTGAGTTCTATGCGTTGATATTAACAATTTCAGCTTTGAGCCTCCCCTTGGCCATCGAAAATTTGAACCCATTTTAAGGGTTTTGCTCTAAATCAAGGTAGGGGCTCTTAATCCACAATTTTCTTGCTCCTATGTGAATTACATCTTCTAAATTGTTGCAAGACATGCTTATTTGCGCTAGTTGTAGTTTAAAAGTAGTTAGAACATGTGTATGTGGGTATGTGAGAGCTTGTAATTAATGTTTTATGTGGAAAATTTGCCTACGTGATGATTTATATAGGTTCGTTATGCTAGATGTATTGTTGTATGAGAGCATGTTGAAATTTCTTGAGAAATTCTTGTGAAATTATGCCTTGCTTACTTGAATTGAGTTGGTTGTGTAATGATGAGTATATTGGCATGATATAAATGCATTTATGCATTTATATTGGGCAAGAAATAGGAAGAATTGATTTTGAAATGAAAAAGGGAGTTTTGGATAGTATATTGATGAAAGTGTTTTGATAAAACCCGGTTGCTGTGGAGTCACCAACAGGCCGGTAGGTTAATGTAACCTAGAGGGAATTAGGGAGATTGTCCTAGCGTGGTTGAGCTATCTAGGCCCCATAATGACGCTGCGGAGTCACCAAAGGTCAGGGACAGTAGCCAATCCTTCTCTCGGCCCTGCGGAGTCACCAAAGGGGGTTACATTAACAATTTGGAAAATGATGGATGAACGGTTTTGAAAATGGGGAGTGACATTGACATGCATTACATTCCATTGCATTATATTGTTAATGTTGAGCTCGGATATGATGTTGTATTTTCCCGCTTTTGTATGACCTCGATTCCTATCGCTCTATTCTTTGCTTGGATTCACGGGGACACAAGAGACGTGTCTTAAGTGTCACCTACTGAGCATATTGCTCACCCCATCATATTCTACATTTTTCAGGTCATGGAAAAGAAGTAGCCGACGGTAATCCAACTTAGCCTTAGCTTGGAGTAGAGAAATGCCCTTTTTCATATCTTTTGTAAATGAACCTAATTTTGTAAAATATTAACTCAAGGTGTATTATTTTGGAATGTGTGATGTATTGAGGTTCATTGTGCATATGGTTATTTGAGAGAATGTAATTAAGTTTTACTTACTCAAAATTAGTTTGTATATTTTTAGTAACGTGTGATAAATTACGTTAACAACGTGGTTGTTATTATTATTGCAATTTAGTGTTGAAATGTATTTAAAATTACACGCAAGTGTAGTGGCGTGAGTGGTTGAATTACCAATGCTGGTGTATTTGGGTTATCACTGGACAGTGGGAAAAGAAGTGAGAGTTTCCCCGATACGTCGACCAGTATCTTCACTGAGTCATTGTGGCTCATGTTGCAAACCAGTCGACGTATCCCAAACCAGTCGACGTAACCGGTATCCATTGTAACACAGGTTCCAAACCAGTCGACGTATGGCTTCCAAACGTCTACCGGTATCTCGGCGGTGGGTATTTTCACTGTTCATAGCCCAAACCAGTCGACGCATAGTGTACATACGTCGACCGGTTTCTGCCTTTTAATTAAACTAAATTTTAGTTTCCAAAATTACACTTTGGCATCCAATAAATGTTACACGTATTTATTTTATGGCTCAATAAAGTGCAATAATTATATTTTAACCACCGAAAAGACTATATTGCCCCGAACTTTATTTTATTTATTATGTGACCCAAGTTAATGACCATCATACCCTTTGAGTCTCAAATTATTGAATTATGGCAATTTACCGTTTTGTCCTTTTTGGACCATGATATTTAAATTTAACATGAAATTACCGTATTACCCTTGGATGATTTTGGGTCTGGAAAGGACCTGTTTAATGATCCGAATCCATGAGGAGTTGGGTTGTTACACAACTACCAAATGCACCAAGTATGCCAATGATGTGCCATGCCATGCAATGTCACTCCCCATTTCTGAAACAATACCGTTTCAATTTTCAAACCGTTAGTGTAATCCGACCCAAGGCACCTCCAAGGCGTTACGAAAGAGGGATTGGCTAATTATCCATGACCACAAGGCACCTCCAAGGCGTCACATCTGGCCTAGTTAACTGAATTCCTAGTCCTCTCTAGACTACACTAACACATGGACCACTTGGCGCCTCCGAGGCATCGGGTTTTTACAAACACTTTCCAAAACAATTTTTTTAAAATTATTTCATTTCATTTCAAAACAAATTTTCCATTTCTTGCCTAATGTAATGCATGAATACTTCAAGCTTTAATCACCATACCATGTCAAGTTCACAATTGCATACAATTCATCTATATCTCATTTGAATGCTTTTGGAAAAAAATAAATTAATAAACTCTCAATTAACAATTTTGACAACATACTATTTGACATTCAAGCATTCAAGTGCATATAATTAAAATCAATAAATAATACGAGCAATTTCTATCACTTTCAACACATTATACACCTTGTCATGCTCATTATACATAAAATGTCTATAACCATAAACAATACTCATAATTTAGTAAACAACTTAATAATTTTTTTAAGAAAACTCACAAGAGTCAAAGAAAATTGTGAATTAGAAACCCTTACCCTGAAAAAGAATTTTCCTCACTAGATAATTGAAGCCTCAAGCTCTGGCCGCCTCTGCAACTCTCGTCTCCTCTCTGTGCACTCTCGGCTTTTTTTCTGCAATCTCCCTCTGCTCACTCTATCTTTTTCTCTTCTGTTCTTTGCATCCTTCGTGTACACAACAGCCAAGTATATGATGCAAATCCAATGACCCAAAAATCTCAAATCAAAATGCAAAATATCAACACATTCACCTATTTCTCCAACAAACCCATGTGCAAAAAGTAGCCAAGGTCAAAAGTGTATGCCAAAAGCCTGCAAATGGGACCCGCCCAGCCATTCCTTTTCTCTTTTTCTTTCCTTATTCTCTCTAACCTCGGCTGCTCCATCTTTCCACCATCAGATTACTTATATGCATATAAAATCTATATCATACATACTACAATGAAACCAACTCAAAACCATTTAAAACTCTCTTAGTGGGACCCGCAAAGCCATTTCCAAACTCTATTTTTCTTTCTTCTTTTTTCATTGATTTCTATACACCCATCAGCACAATATACATATATATAATATGCAATAAAAACAAATCTGTTCTCTCTTTCCTTTCACGGAACAGCCACCTTATTTCCAACAACACTAAAACACAAAGGTAATATAACCAATCACGCACCCATTATAATAACCATCAAAATATCCATGTGAACAAACTATCTCAAAAAAAAAAAAAAAAAAGAAAAAAAAAAATCTCCTTATCTTATCAAATGAAATATATATAAATGATATATGATATATGTAACAAAAATTAATCACCCATTAAA